AAAAAAAAAAAAAAAAGTCAAATGGAAAAAAATTTAGGTTCTGTAGGCTACACACAACTCTGTTTATCTCTTATGTACAGCAGTCTCAGTCACTACTACGAAACTCTGTTAGTACAGCAAGGAAGTAGTCTTAGACAACATAAGCTATCATCATTTACAAAACTAGAAGCAGCCTGATTTGGCTTAAAGGCCAGTTTGCCAGCCTCAATGTAGAAAAGATTTCAATATAACAAACAACCATGATTTATATCTAAAATCTTGATAACAGACCTGGTAAAAGTATTCTAACCATTTATGCACTTCCTAGATGATCAAGAGAATTTCAAGGGCAAACTATTCAAATATTCAAGTATGTCCTTTGAGCTATACTATAATTAGCCAAAATGAAATAACTATGATATTAACACTAAGCATACAGTGTTTATATTTGGAAAATGTGGTTAGATTCTGAAATGTCATTATATATGACTGATAGAACAATACAAAAGGTAAGGCTCTTACTCTTCAGAACTTTATTACATAACAAAGAGAAAGGTACAATAAACTGGAATGAATATAAAGATAATACTGTAGAATGGATTCAAAATTGGACTAAATCAATTATTAGCCACTAGGACCAGAGATTTAGCTCAGTGGTTCCAGCACCTGCCTCACAAGTGCAAGGTCCTGAGTTCGATCCCTGGTACCAAAAGAAACTCCAGCAATACCAAGATCTGGTGAGGATGAGGCACAATTGGAACTCTCATGCCTTACTGGTAGGAATGGAAAATGGAAAATAGTTTGAGAGTTTCATACAAGGTTAACCATACTCCTACCATATGGCACAATCACTGCACTCTGAGCTACCTATCCAAGAGAAAGAAAAATTTAGGTTCACACAAAAATCTATATGCAAAGCTTTGTATCATCTTTATTCATAACTTTAATAATTAGAAACAACCCAGACTGTTGCACTGTTACTAACCAGTAAAAAAAAAAATTTCCTAGCAATAAACACAAAATTTTTCCTGAGAAAGAAACTGTACCCTCAACCTTTTACAATAGGTATGAATTAAGTTGCAGGGGGAAGGTGTGGCAGAGTAAAAAATTAATCCTAAGAGTTTATAAAAGTAGATAAAGCATTACCTTTTTAAGTGAAACAATCCATAATCATGTTCTGCAAGAAACATCATTGTTCTAACACACGTCAGTAAACAGTTGTAACTGCTCTCGGAATTGGCTAAAGTGGCCAACAGACAATCACAGATAGAGGCCATCAATTCTTTGTTCGGTAGAGAATTGGAGAGTTGTTCGAGTTCAGAAATAGAACCTTCAGAAGATGCTGGCAAAATTAGTGCAATGTCCTGAGGGGCAGAAACAGAGCAGAGAAAAAATCATTTTAAAAACGAGTACCAAAGGAAGGAAGGGGAAAGGGACGAAAAAAGAATTGAAATATGTATATGGACCAACTCCCCACAAGGAATGTGATCCTTATGTGCTGCAAAAGTACACTAATGAAAATAAAATATTAACTAGAAAAAACTGTCACCATCACTCGGAACTGTTACTTCAAAAGTATGCATAAATTAATGCTTAGTAATTATCTCATGAAAATATTCCTATAGTCACATTCCCAGCAACAGGCACTAATACATCAAGAACAAAGGAGTTATTTTGCCCTTTTATACAAGCTAATGTAAAGATACACACCTTAAAAACACTTAAATGCTCTACAATATTTTTACTTTAAAAGAACACTTTTTAAAAAAATTTTCCTTCTTCGTTGTACAGAGAGAAGTTTCTATTTTCAAATGGTTAAATAAAAAGAATTTTGAGGAGCTGGAAGTAGAGCTCAGTGGTAGTGTGTGTCTCCTGCTCAAGTCCAGGGGATCTATCCCTAGCACTGCTACAAAGAAAGAAGTATTGCTGGAACTAAAATACTCCCAAAGTCACTGTATTACTCATTCATTTATAGTTGTTTATAAAGAAACCATTCAGAAAAATAAACTTTACACATAATCAGTGTTGGAATTTTAAGCATTATAAAAAGGGATAGATGGGAGCAAATGGTCATTAAACACAGTCTTCAAATATTCCTATTTTTTATGTACTTTTACAATTCAAGTTTTCCAGTACTAAGACAAGTTTAGCTAACATTAACTGTAGAAAATTTCCACTACTTTTAAATTTTTTGTACTGGAACCTGAATCTGGGGTCTCCCACTGAGGGCTGAGCGGCATCTCCGCTCTCATCACTAGGCTGGCCAGCAGGCTCCAACTTGGGATCTTCTGGCTCAGTGCCCCAATTTCTCTTTTCATTGAAGTAAAACAGATTTTACAAGAGCATTTTGGGGTATGTTTTGTCACCTTCATTATTTCAACAAATTGAAAACCAGTATTTAACCTGGCTTAAAACTATGAAACAAAGATTTGAATCAGAAGGCAGATACAACAAAGTGAGGCCATGAAAATGTCTGTGTGATAAAAGGGAAGCAAGGATGCTTTATGCTATATGGATTATTCAACAAATACCACTCAAATACACAATCTGAGGTATATTTAAAATATCCTTTTGACCAGGCCCAAAAGTCTTTTCTGCCACGTCCAGTTTTGGTGATAACAAGCCACACAGAAAACTATTCACTCTTGACTTTAATCTTCTATATAACCAAACTGGATTTTCGTTTTCCAACTCAGGATTTTATTAAAAATATTCTCCCTGAAAAAATCCTGCTGATAACCAGTTAGTATTCTGGTAAGTTAAAATGCCATTTGATCCCCCCCCAAAAAATGCCACTGGCATGGAAATCTCCAACGATTCCAATCATAATGGGCTTTAAAAGATAACACAATTGGGCTGGGGATTTAGCTCTGTGGTTTCAGCACCTGCCTTCCAAGTGCAAGGTCCCAAGTTCGATCCCCAGTACCAAAATAAAAAAGATAACACAATTATCATTATCTCCTGAAACTGTAAACTAGGAGTCAATGATACAGACAGCAGTAAAAAATATCACCACTGTTGGCCAACAGTTATATGCACAGTATTCTGAAATACATTCTAATTTCACTCATCCCTGATGCCTTCCAATAGCTGTCCCAACAAGAGAACATATTAACTCAACCAGTAACAAAGCTACAAAATCAAGAATAACTTGGTATATAATATAATTGGAAGGAAAATTAAGATAGTAGACATTAACCAACCCTAGCAATCACTCAAGGTTCTAACCTGATAAAGAAGAAAAAGCTCTTCAGAGAAACCCACAATACTGTTTACTAACCCTTGCTGGGCATGGTGGTGTGGTCCTATAATCCCAGCACTCTGGGAGGCTGAGGCAGGAGAATCACAAATTCCTAGCCTAGTCAATTTAGTAACTTAGTAACACCCTATCTCAAAATCGGGAAAAAAAAAAAAAGAGCTGGAAGTGTTGGTCAGTGCTAAAGGTGTGGGTTCAATTCCAAAGAGAAATACTGATCCAAATCAAGCTTTGAAGCACCAAATTATTTTACTGTTCCTTCACTTGTTAATCTTCCTAAACACATAATAAAACATGGTGAGACCTTTCTGTTCACACACAAGATTTATACCAAGGGAAGCTTTAAAGTATGTGCATACACAAACACACACACACACACACGGACTTTATAAAATGTAAATACCTGATCACAGAGAGACTGCAAAATGGATGTGATATATTCAACACACTGCTGGCGAATAACACTGTCTCCAGGAGACCGCACCAAAGCTAAAAGATCTTGGAATATCTCTGCATATCTTTCATCACCTTTAATAGTTCCATTAATTAGATGTAAAATAGCTAATTTACAAGCTTTGTGTGAAGCCAGAGCATCAAGAAGAGCAAGCAACCTGGTGGTTTGGCTAGTATATTGTTTTTCTTTATCTTCTGAAGTGCTGAAATAAAATCAATACATTTAGTAAACAAAATTCTTAATTTTAAAGGCATTATTTAACTAATTTATTTTTCTATACATATTACAACACAAATTTTGCATAAAACATTTCATTCTTTGGATATACTGACAATTCTTCTGGAGTCTTACAATTACTATTTCATAAATTCAGGTTTTCAATGTTTTCTTAAATCAGAATACTTCTTTATAGCTCACCTTTCAAAAGCCCAAATTCAAGACCTTCAAGTATCCTGTACATAAAATGATGAAATAAACCTTTCTAATTAACAGTAATTTACATATATTCATTTATACATACATATGTGCATGTGTATATTTATAAGTAAATGTGTTATCTGGGTTTTCTAAACCCTGGTTTCCAAACTCTAAGTGAAGAAAGTGTATCCATGTCAAGAATAACTTCAGGAAAAAATTCTTAATGCAAAATAAAAATACCTTTGCAAGTCTTCTACAATCAAATCCAACACAGTTCTCATAATCAGAAGTGCGGTTGGTGAAGCAAGGTCACACAATTGAACACAAATACGCCGTAACATATGCTGAATGGGCTGGCAGGTTGTGCCAGAGAAAGAACGGACTATTTCTTGGAGCAACTTTGCTTGAACATGAAGGTGCATGCTCCACAATTTTCGGGTGTTGAGTGCCACTGATATATCATGTGGCTCAATAACCTGTTAAAAAAGTATAATGTGTGTGTACGTAGATTTTTAATATTTATTTATAGTCACAAAAACTGTTCAGGAAGAACTGTTATAAAAAAACAGTTACTGCATGCTTAAAACATTTAATTTTCTATTATACAATTAAACATTTGACTGAGTTCAATGAGTCTAAAAAAATCTTATTGTTCTCAGGTTAGCAGTCAGTTGAGCAGAGTCCACTGGTGAAGCAACCTAATTACTGGCAAAATCTAACACATGATTGGGGGAGGGAGTAAAATAACAGAAAATTGTAAGTACACGTATACATAACAGCATAATAAAACTCACTTTAACAAAAATTTATTTAAGTGTTACCCCCATATTTCCTCAATGACCAACTTGTTTCAGTTTTATCTTGCCCTCATCCAGTTATTTAATGTCTTTTAGGGGTGAGACGGATGAGAGTTTTGTTTTTAACAAAAATCACTGGCTTTATTAAAAGCGTTACTGCAGTCATTCATAAGATGCATGTTATATGGAAGTGATACCTGAGTTGTTTGCATGGGCAAAGGAAGAGGCAGCAGCTCTGAAAGGAGTATGAGTCCAGAAAAAAATCCTTCGGGAACCTTCAAGATGGAAGAAAGTACTTCTTTTAACATTAAAGACCAAGTATTATTGGCCAGAGTCTCTTCTGAGATTGTGAGTTTTTCATTAACTCCTTGTGTGAAAGTCAGTAAGATATCAATGATATCATTCTGAATTCTCTGTTCATCACTATCCAAACGACCTGAGAGGGGGATAGAGCACAGGAGCATGTGTAACGTGACGAGTGCTGAGGGAACACGCATGTCCTTAAACTCAAAGGATCCGCCTCTCAGGAGCTCCATTAGCATGGTTTTTAGGAGAGTGAGCGTGCAGCGAGCCATGGAAATGGTGGTAACTCTGTGAAGGGTAGTCCCCATGTTGACATGGAGCCTCCAAGGCTGAGTCAAAATACTGTTCAATTTTTGCAGAACCCGAATAAAGGTGTCCATTCCTTCAGCAGAAAAAAGCTGAATAACAGCAAGATTCCATTTCAGGTCTTTCTGTTGACCTTTATATAGGACAAGGGGGGAGAAAAAAACTAATTACTTATACATTAATAATCAGTTAAGAATTTTGAATACTTAATAAATGATATTTATACTATGCTTAAAGCATAGTAGTTTTTAATTGTCACTTTACCTTCAACAGGAGGAGGTGGGCATGCCACATTACAGAGAACACGTAAGGCAGTGGTAAGGCCAACTCCTTCTGGGGTCATCAAGTTATCAATATTCTTTAAAAATAAAAATGAACAGAGTTTAATTTCTTGGTAGCCAATTAGAACATGAGAAAATTCCAGACATGCATTAAAAATATATGTGCAGGGTCGGGGATTTAGCTCGGTGGTTTCACCACCTGCTGCGCAAGCGCAAGGACCCAAGTTCGATCCCCGGTACCAAAAAAATATATATATATGTGCAAGGCCCTCCTTAGCATGCATATACAAGACCCTGAGTTCAATCTCCAGAAGGACGGAAGGAAGGGATTTAAGTACATATAATATTTTATATTTATTTATATATAGCATATCTAAAACATAAGGCACTAAAACTAAAAAAGTTCATCAAAATTATTTTATCTTTTACATATATTAAACTGTGAGATATTACATAAAAAGAATTACAAGGTACAAGTACAGTATATTTAAAGTACTGACTAAGCCAGGGATTTAGCTCAGTGGTTCTGCTGCCTGCCTCACAAGTGCAAGGTCCCAAGTTCAATCCCTGGTACCAAAAAAAAAAAAAAAAAGTACAGACTAAAACAAAACTAATATACAGAAATTGTGAGACTCTGTACTGAGTTTAACTCCTTTCTGTGTAACTATTTTATACATCTTCTCTCCTAAAAACAGAGCAATGATTGTATTTTAAGAGCTCCATGGTACAAAGCCTCTTTCAAAACTGAGGAAATAACATGGCAAGTTTTTGGACTATATAAATACCTTTTTTAAAATGCCAATACCAAGGATGGCATGGTTAGAAGAAAAAGAAAATCAGCTGTCTTATGTCCTTAGCACCTGCCTATTCTATGTATTCTGACAACAAACATATTTACATTGTCATAGCTTTCACAAATAAACATTCTTTTTAAAATGTGTAAAGAAATAACATTAAAAAGATTCCTATACTAACTTCTAAGCCTCCAAGTATAATCTTAAAAACTGAATTCCTCTTTCTTATGTTTTTCACTTTAGATGATCTTTTTCTCTCATTTTTTTCTTGGAATTCTATAGATTACATAAGGCAGCAAAGAGCCAAAGAGTAGTGTTTCAGTCTCGGATCAAGTGATTTTAGTATATAATGGGATGAGAGCTACTTATGATAATCATGATTAATAAGATAAGGATTTATACAAAAATCAAATCTTTTTTTTTTTGGTACCGGGGATCAAACTCAGGACCTTACGCTTTCGAGGCAGGTGGCACTACCACTGAGCTAAATCCCTGGCCCTTAAATCTTTTGATTACAGTATGTAATTCAAATTTCTAGAACCTGAAAAAATTCTGAACTATGTTCCTAACTAAATACTTTTACTAAAAAAAAAAATTAGTAAATTCATGTAGGGCCGGGGATTTAGCTCAGTGGTTTCACCACCTGCTGCGCAAGCTCAAGGACCCGAGTTCGATCCCTGGTACCAAAAAATAAATAAATAAATAAATTAGTAAATAGATACTTTTACTCAAACCATTTGATATTTATTTATTTGTTTTGTTTTGTTTTTGGTACCAGGAATAGAACTCAGGGCCTCATGCTTGCCAGGCAGGTGCTGTGCTGCTGAGCTACATTCCCAGCCTCCATTTGATACTTACTGATGTCTATTAATAGTCACTTTATCATGCACAAGCCTTCAGAATGCATGAACGCATAAATTTACAGGACATTAATTGTGCTTCTGCTAAATAGAAGACAATACAACAAAAAGCTCCAGATATCATTTGAAGCAAAGAGTTAAGACAGAAAAACATGATGGCATCATAGGAGGTAAAAGTACTTTTATGAGAGGTACAGTGTCAGAGAAGCCAAGGGCAGAAACATTAGTGAAGAAAAATCTGAAGCAGATAAACCCAAATGGTACTTTGTTGTTAGATCAGAACAGCTACAAGTGGTTTTCGTGTCTCTCTCTCTCTCTCTCTCTCTCTCTCTCTCACACACACACACACACACACACACACACACTTCAAGAGCTAGATGAGGTAATTCAAAGTTCATACTTCCCTTCCAGCTCAAAACTTTTACATATCTACGTCCCTTTAGTCCTTATTTTTTTTTTTTTTGGTACCGGGGATCGAACTTTAGTCCTTATTATGTTACACCCTGGATCACCAAGAGCAAAAATAAATAAAAACAAAAAGAAGAGGAAACCAACTTCTAAGACTAACAATGCACTGACTTCATTACTATGAATTACCTGAATTGTGTTTTAATTTTTTCACCAATACTATTATGAATTTTATAGATCTTACTGATTCCAGCTTTTACGAATTATTTCAATTATAGATAGGACTACTCCAAATTAACATCAAAGAGAACAATCCCCATGCTGCAATTATCTGGGACTGGCCCTATCAATTTTCAGCTAAATATTTCCAGGAAAATTCTTTTTCACTAAAGTTTAAGAGAAATAATTAGCTTTTATATTACCATAGCATTTAACTTTATCTATACAAGTGACCTAATGCATTATTACCATTATATACTACCCTGAAGTGCCATAAAATCAAAAACCTTGTAAATTAGGGCCGGGGATTGCTCAGTGGCACTGTGCCTGCCTCGCATACACAAGGTCCTAAGTTCAATTCCCGGTACCACAAAAAAAAAAAAACAACTTATAAATTTTACTTACCTGTTTAACATATTCAATTAGGTTTGGGATGCAGTTAATTTCAAATCGAAGATTTTTCAGAGGTTCAAGCCATTTGCCAAGTTCTTAAAAACAAAAAGAATAATCTGTAATTTTTTAAAAAGGCATTTATAACAAAAGTAATAGTATATTTAGGAAAAACATCAGCTCCGCACTGATTTCAATATCTAAATTTCATTCAAGGATGAACTTGTATCTAATTATTTAAACAAGCTTTAAAATGAAACGGAAATGCAGGCCTATTGTATTGGTTCAAAAAGAAGTGGGGCCAGAGATTTAGCTCAATGATTCCGCCGCTGCCACACAAGCGCAAGGTCCTAAATTCAATCCCTGGTATAAAAAAAAAAGTGAGGAAAACTAAGAAGTGACTGCTCTTTGCTACCTGATTTCTGAAAACTTAAATGTGTAAATGCTTAAACATATATGTAATAAAAATAATGTAATAAGTGAATTTCTGCAATCATCAGTTTATAGTATTACAAAACAGATTTATAAAAGACTGCTTATAAACTGATATACTGTTTGTTCATCTACCTTTGCTGCTGCTGCCCACACTCCTAAAAAAAAAGTATAGGCAAAATGTATTAAGTGTATTTATTTCTAACAGGATCAAACCCATGAGGAGACAATTTGCTGAGTATCTCTTCTCTTAATGTGAAATTTTAATTGTCAATTTCTTAATTTGCCTTTATAAAAATAATTACTATCACCCCAAAATAGAGAACAAACTCTGATTTAAAATACCACTCACCACAATCAAAACAAAACTCTCCAAGACTCTATATAACAAAGTAGCTATGCCTTATTTCCCCCTCTAAAGTGTTTTTTGGTTTTGTTTCGGTTTGGTTTGAGACAGGGTCTGCCTATGTAGCTTAGGCTGGCCTCAAACTTGTGGTCCTCGTGCCTAGGCTTCCCTGCTGGGATTGCAGGTATACACCAAAAGACCTGCCTCTAAAAATGTTTTCAGAAAAGGATTCTAAAATAAAAAGTGATATATCAGTTTCAGACACTCTATAGGTATGTAGGAAACCAAAAATAGTAGTAGTCTCTCTCCTTGGTATTGCACTTGCCCAGAAGGGTCACAGCTGTGGACATCTTAGTATTTTTCCTTGTCTATTTTGTCTGGTTTTTTTGAGATAAGGTCTTGCTATATAGTCCAGGCTGGCTTCAAACTCATGATCCTCCTATCTTGGCCTCCTCAGTAGTGGGATTACATGTGTGTGTCACCACGCCTGACTTCCTATGCATATATAAATAAAGTCTTTCATATAAACAGAATATACAACTCAAATTAAATAAGCCAGACATGGTGGTGCACACTTATAATCCCAGTACCTGGGAGACTGAGGCAGGAGTACTGTCCCAAGTTTAAGGCCAGCCTGAACTACATAGTGAAATTCTGTCTCAAAAAACAAAACAAAAAAAATTTTAATAAAATAATTTTTTTAAAGTGCACCCATTACCTTAAAATGTAGTAAAGCATTAATAATGCCTTTGAAGATATCATGAGTCCTCCTTTAATAAGGGCACATTTAGAATTTTTAAAAAAGAGGCCACATTCCATTTTAAAGCATTTTTACAATATTTACTCAATGTTATCAAGTTTTGTACTTGATAACATCAGAAAGCTGAGACAAAATATAATTTTTAAATTATGAATAGCTACCTTATTTTCCAAACTTCCTATAAAATTAGCCATAAACTTCACTCAATATACATTTCTATACTTTAAAAAGTAAAGCTCAGCCGGGGATTTAGCTCAGTGGTTTTGCCGCCTGCTGCGCAAGCGCAAGGACCCGAGTTCAATTCCCGGTACCAAAAAAAAAAAAAGAGTAAAGCTCGTGAGCCAGGGATTTAGCTCAGTGGGGCTGCACCTGCCTTGCAAGCACAAGGTACTGAGTTTGATTCCCAGTACCAATAAATAAATAAATAAAGCTCATATTCATTATCATTCACTTTTTTTCATTCACTTTTGATAACAGAAATATGTTGATCCGTAAGCAAATCTCTAAGTTATACTTAGAACAGTGTTTTCTCTGTGTGTGTGAAAATACATGCACAAGCAAAACTATAGCAAAATTGGAACTTCTAAGTTCTTTAAACTACCTCTTCCATTTTCAACAGAAATTTTAAACACCAATTTTAATGACTTTCCAGAAATAAAATAATTAAACCTTTTTGTTTATATACTAAAATATTTTATCAAACCTTTCATTTTAAAAACTACCCTCATAAAAAGTAAATTATAAAGAAGTAACCCAGGCGTGGTGGCACATGCCTGTAATCCCAGCACTCGAGAGGTTGAAGCAGGAGGATCACTGCAAGCTCAAGGCCAGCATGGGCTATGTGGTGGGTTCAAGACCAGCCTGAACTACACAGCAAGACCCTGTCTCAAAAAATAATTTTAAAAAAGAGGTAAAACTAGTATTAGGTATGATGAAACATGATAAAACATTACATTCATAGGTGTTTCTTTTCACATATCACAAATGCTTAAAATAATTTCAGATACTATACCTTGCAATTTAGCATTATTTTCATCTGCTTTACAAAGCTTCAAGAGAGATGCTGCATGTTGTTCTAACATTTGGACATCACTGGAAGACTGAACCACCACCAAAATAAGTATGCATGCATAATTATAAGCTACTGACTTCTTAGACTTGGAATCGCTGAAACAAAATAAGGTTTTTAAGTTTGGGGTACAAAAACAATTTTTAGGAATAATTTTTTAGGAATAATTTTAAATATTTTTTCTATTTGGTTTTAGAGACCAACAAAATTTACAATGAAATGTGACTGACTTCTTGAAGACACGAAAACAGATTTTACAGTTCATATCCAATTCACCTGAAAACTGTACTCAGTAGTACAGTCACCTCTCAGTATCCATGGAGTGCAATCCCAGGACCCCCACAAATACCAACATCCATGAAGGGTCAAGTCCCTTAGAAATGCCCCAGCATCTGCACATAATCAACACATCTGTACTAACTTATCTCTACATTACTTATAATACCTAATACTATGTAAATGCCATATAAAGAACTGTGGTACTGTATTGTGTAGGGAATATTGACAAGAAAAATAAAGTCTGAATATTATTCTAAATATTTTCAGTTCATAGTTGGGTGAATTCACAGCAGAACCCACAGATAAGGAGGGCTGCTGAATATAAAAATAAAACATATAGGCCTGGGGATTTAGCTCAGTGATTTCACCTCCTGCTACGCAAGCTCAAAGACCTGAGTTCAATCCCTGGTACCAAAAAAAAAAAAAAGAAAAAGAAAACATATACTACAATAAAGTAACATTTGATGAAGAACAGAACAACAATGAAATATTAACAAGTATATTTCATAAACAACAGAATATTACAAAGTACACTTCATTGCTCTCCTTTAAAATCTCCAACCAATCTGGATACACAGGACAGATGTGATCACCTGCCATCATCACTCCGTCTTCCATTTCAGGACCTTGAGGACACAGCCAGGCAAAGAAGCCGCTTGGCCTGTCTTCCACGGCCCGCAAAGAAGACTCGTCACTCAAGGAGTCCTGTCAAGTCCCCACAGTGAAGGCAGCTATCTAGATGCTCCTGCCTTCGACATGAGCTAGGAAGAGGGTATTCTCTAGTCACACACTAAAACCTCTGCCCCAAGAGCACATGCTCTTCAAAACCATTGTCATTCTCAACTCTCCCCATTTAGTCAAAGCAATTCTGAAACCACAGCTTGTGACTGGATTAGATGGCAAGGACAGAAAACAGCATAAGAGTGCCCACTATTCTTAAGGGATACATCCCTGGGCCTTAGGGGTCCCCTCTACACTAATCAGCAGAGGTGTCCAGCTGCAATCTTTGTCAATACCACCAGCTCACTGAAAGAAATTACTAAAAGGTCGGCTGCATTGCTTTACAGCTGCATCTTATATTTTAGAGCCTTTGTCATTCCAATTCTTTTTTTTTGGTACCAGGGATCGAACTCAGGACCTTGCACTTGTGAGGCACATGCGGTGCCACTGAGCTAAATCCCCGGCCCTGTCATTCCAATTCTTAACAAGTTATATGTTATGTCAAAAAAACCATAGCTTCTGCTTTCAGAGAAATATCCTTTTAAAAGAAACTAGCCCATGAGTGATCTAGTTTTCTAACATAACTAAAAATTTAAGAAACAAAAATTACCCTAAAGCTTCCTTGGAATAGTACTCCATTAGAGTAATGAGACTCTGAAGATTTTTGTCAAGACTGAAAACATGGCCAACAGCTGATCTTCCCACAGGATTAAAAGTAATCAAATAAAGATTGTGAAGAGTTCCCAAAAGGTCAGAATGGTCAGTTTCTTCGCTGGCCGTACAGCGCTGAAAATGGCTGAACAGTTCTGTAATGCACTGCAGCGTCTGAGTTGAGTCCTGCAGCCACAAGGCAAATGCATCATCGATAACACCATCAGACTGGAGACCTTCCTCTTCATCTTGATCATATAGATGACACAAAGCTCGGATCAACAAGTTTGTTGCTTCATATTCTGACATAAAAAAAAGGAGACCCTTTTGTGACTGTGCAAGAAACTTCAGAACATCTTTCGTCACTTGCAGCACACCAGGGTGGGCACTGGTTACTGGAATTGACAGAAGCAAGGTAACCAACTCCAAGAAATGATGACTGTGAAGATACCTGTGGAAAATTGATATTATATCAAGTAAATACAAAGCATTCTTCATTTACTCAACACTCACCAGACAGGACAAAAATAAAAACTTTTAATGGCCTTAGTCCTCATCCTCAGACATACACTACTTTAATTGCAAACTGCAATAATAGCAATAAACAACAACAACAATAACAACAACACTAATAATGTGCAAGTTTCCTCTCTTTGGGCCAAATAAAGTGAAAATTCTGTAAGACTTTCTCCTAGCTAATACTCAAAAGATGTTTAATAAAGTTTCTCCTAGCGAAAATATTCAACAGATGTTCAATAACTGTTGGTAAGTTTTCTCTCTTTGGAGTTAATTCTGACTCTAAACTCTGGGCCTTCTGTTTGAGCTACTTATCAAAACCATCATCCTTCTCTACTCATGGCATTTCAGATACATCAATCAGGATCCCCAGGAAAAATACAAGACATATAATATTGAAAAATATAGATTAGCCGTGTGTGATGGCACCCGCCTGTAATTCCAGCCCTCAGGAGACAAAGGCAGGAGGATCTCAGAGGAGTTTAAGGTCAACCTGAACTACAAAGCAAGACCTTGTCTCGAAAAAAGAAAAATATAGATCAGATATACTATAGGCCTGAGGTACTACCTCTAAGAAAGAAAAAACTTCAAATTATCAATTTTAGTATTTGAGTAGTTAGTACCACCATCCATAGCCCAACACTCTTCTATCAAATCTAAGAACTATTCTCTGGTTTTGAGAGGAAGTAGTCTGGAACTTACCCAACACTCTAAAACAAAGACAAATGCTACTGACAACCTCTTTGAATATCAGTTTCCTCATGTGTATGCATTTCTTTCCTTATTTTTCCTTATCTGGCTCTTTTCTAAAACCAACTTTTTCAAAATGAAATGCAAAGATTTTTAAAGACAAAAATCAGCAATTTTTTCAAAAATTCAAATTGGGGGGAAAAAAAAAATCTTCCTAAACAAGCCAGGCATAGTGGTGCACACTTGTAATCCTAGCACTCAGGAGGCTAAGACAGGGAGATCATGGAGTGTTTGAGGCCAGCCTGGGCTACATAGTGAGTTCAAGGCCAGCCTTAACTACATAGTAAGACCCTCTCTCAAAAAAGCAAAAAACAAAAAACTACCTAAACATTTTTTAACTACAGAAGAAGAGCAGTTTAATATGTCACTTTTGAGTTAGGAAAAAAATCCTAATTCTTTGCATTCTAAACTAAATAAAAACTATTTGAAAAGCCTGATTCTTCACACTTTTAATCACTGCAAGAGGTGATACAAGGGCCAGGGTTTTAACTCAGTGGTGCCCCACCTGCCTAGCAAGCACAATTCTCAGTACCAAAAAAAAAAAAAAAGAGCTGATACAAGTTTGTGTAAACATCTGTCAAAACATTACTTGTAAGTAGGTTAAAGGCTAGAATTTATTTTTATTAATAGCTAAAACTGACCCTTCAATCTCATTACTACTTTAACTCCGGTTTCTATGATGAGACATCATGACATTCACAATAATACATAAATACCACAATAAGCACCATCTAGTGACTGCTTACTATAAACTCAAACATAACTCAAGAATATAAAACTCTGTGGCTGGGTATGGCGGTGCACACCTGTAATCTCAGCACTGGGGAGGCTGTGGCAGGAGACCACCCTAGGCTACACAGTGAGGCCCTGTCTCAAAAAACTAAAGAAAAATTAAAAATAAAATAAAACTCCAGAATTACTCTAAGTGTGTCCTTATCTACCTTATGGACTGTCTAAAAGTAGTTAACACAGTAGACCTCACATTTATCCTTAGGCTTTCTTGCAAGGTTGGCCGCTGGCTGGCCTCTGGGAACTTGGATTTGGGAAAAGTCCCTCAGCCCAAATGTTAAGAATGGCTTGCTGGGCCTAAGTTATTTATGCAAACAATTTGTTTTATGCTGAAGACCTGCTTTCCTTCTGGGAGCTTAAAATTCTGTAACACCATAGGCTGTAAATAATTGCATGGTTATCCCTCAATACAAACTCTGGGTACCAAAATTAGTTTGACATAATCATTCCACATTGTATACATATATCAAACATCACATTAAATATATATAATTACTTTTCAGTTAAAAATAAAAATAACTTTTTTAAAAAGCCTAGGTGTGGGGCTGGGGATTTAGCTCAGTGGTTCTGGTGCCTGCCTTGCAAGCGTAAGGTTCCGAGTTCGATCCCCAGCACCAAAAATAATTAAATTTTAAAAAAAACAAAAAAAAACCTAGGTGTGAGTTTCTAAGACGCAGGAAACATCTCACATGCACTGTCACAATTTGAAGGAATTAAGTAGGTCTTGTGTGACTCCTGTTGAGAGAATGCTGGATGCTTGTGACTGCCTTCCCCAGACTTTAGGTGATGTACCTTATTCACCTCAGATTATGCTTTGGGCCCTTTGCTGAGTACAACTGTAGCTAAATCCTACACGTCCAGCTAGAAAATCTTGGGGACCCCAAAATAGGTCCTTAGACCCTTACTATTACTTCATACGAATCCTTCCGAAATGTAATGATTCTCCTTCCAAAGTTCACTCTTCCTTCTAACTTACCAGTTTCTGCCAATGAAACCAGAGTTCTAACTGTCACCTGACTAGAAACCTCAAACACTGTTCACTTCTTCTCACTTTGTCTTTCCTATGAGGTCCCCAAATCAGGTCCTAGTAATTTCTCCCTCATAACTGTTGATATTAGCACAATCATTTGTCCTTCCATTCCTGATAAGCACCACTATACTAGCTCAAGTACTTAATAACTACTACCTAGAATCTTTAGCTATTTACTTAACTGTGATTTCTTACCCAGACCAATGTATCTTGCAATAAAAAATGTGAAAGCACTACATTTCAATCAGTTCTGCTTCTCCAAAACATTCAAGATATTCCCATTTCTAAACTACAAACCAAACTCCTTAGCACAGCATCTAAGGACCTTTATTTCCTCTATTCTGATACCCAAACATTCCTCCTCTGGCAGGATATGGGGGGAAATAACATTTAATAAACAGTTACTAGTTTCTCTCAGTGACTGAAAGCATCACCTCTTATTCTTGTTATGCTCAATCACCCTTAGGACATGATTTTACTCCTACTTTACTAAAAATGAAGATATCATTAAGATGAAGTGCCTCAATTCCTTAATATCTCCAACACTACAAATGTATCAATATTTCCACAGTCAAAGTTTTCTTTCTCCTGTTCAAAATCAAACTTCTACACTTGTAATCTTGATCTCATCTCCCATCAAATCTTGCTCCAACAATTAATATCTGCTTTTTGAGACAAGGTCTCACTGTGCAGTTCAGGCTTGCCTTGAACTATGTAGCCCAGGCTGGTCTCAAACTCACAGTGATCTTCCTGCCTCAGCCTTTCAAGTGCTGGGATCCCAGGTGTGCGTCACCACACCCAGCACAGTCTCTTACTCTTACATTATAAACACATCCCTCTCCAGTGACTTTTTTTTCTGTACCGGGGATCAAACTCAGGACCTTGCACTCACAAGGCAGGCAATGGAACCACTGAGCTAAATCCCCGGCCCCTCCAGTGACTTTTTAAATAAGTTAATTCTTTCCAGTCTCAAATGTGCTCTTCTGTTTCTTAAAAAAACAAAATCTTCCTTTGTGACTACAGCATCCCCTTCTGGATGCTGTCTCATGCCCTCTTAGCCAAGAATTTAAAACAATAAACATCTCCATTTCCCAGTGACTCTTCAGCTACACCTCCTGTTCCACTGCTACAATAAACTGCTGTGCCAAAGCTCCAATTGCAATCTATTCTGCAAAATTCATTACATTATTTCCTGTCCTCATTTTCTCAATTTCTCACTCGACACAGCAACCCAGTCACTGCTTCCTGAAACTATATCCTCCTATTCTGCCTACTACGTTATATTGTAGCTATTTTATGCATTACTACTCCCATAGTTCCATACTGCTCATCCCACTACACAGTCTGTGTGGGCTGCCAATACCCACCCTGAAGTTTCCACTTTGGCCCTCTGCCATTCTTTCTCAGAGCTTCCTCTATAGCCATTAGAGAGCGCTCAGACCACAAGCAAGAGCAGCTGAGAAGTTAAAGCCCCTGGTGGACAACTTTCAGCATAAGGAAGAAAGAGACAAGTGCTTCTGCCTGAGTCACTCAACGGAAGACATAGAAGAGACATTTTAGCTGGTTCCTCTGAAGGCCTCCAGTAGATGAGCCCCAATTATTCACAGAAATAAGTTTAAAAATACACACTTTCCTGGCTTTTCCTTCTCATCTTACTCTCCTGATTCCTGGAGTAACCTCTCAAATGGAAAACTAATCACTAAAAGAGACAAAAACTAATCACAGAAATAAGTAATAAAAAATGCCATATTTTCATTTTGATATTAGAAAATTATCTACAGGCAATATGCCAACAAGGCCAAAAACAAAGTCTCAAAAATTAAAATAAAAAAACCTACTGTGGATGCTGTACCCAACAACGGCCAATGGCCAATGACAAAAAAACCAGAGATCTGGATGAAGAAACAAGTGGTAATGGAACCTTAAAGACACCTTTAAATGGGACTATAGAGCAACAAAGAGTAATAGCATTCACTTCAGAAGGTTCCTGTAGGGATAAGCCTAAAACACATTTAAACGGGACTGTAAAATTAAGATAGCAAAATAAAATTTTATCTTACACTGTATCAAAGTAAAATAAAGGATTTCCCATAGAAAAGCTCTCTCCTTTCTATACTGTCCCTTTCCACCACCCTCCCAGTAGCAAGTAAACAGTTTCTCATTTATTCTTGTCAGACATGCTTATACAAGCATTGTTAACTATTTATTATCACTTACTCTCATCTTTACTATCCTAATTCTGCTTTAAGTACTAACACAAGATAGTCTCACAGTTTCACTACTGTATACCTATTCTGCAACATCTAGTATGCTTGCACAGGATATGCATACCTACAAACAGATAAAAAACAATCACCACATAAACTTGTGCCCAATGATTCAGAAGTGTATGTCCCTAAAAAGAGATGTCTTACCTAAAGAGAACAGGGTACGGATCATCCCTTTCTGGAGGTCCAGTTATTTGTGCCATCGTTGGGAAAGACTTAACAGGAGGTTGGATCATTGTATGAGGGGCAGTTTCCATTAAATGGAAAACTTCTTCTAGGAGGTTAATAAGCCTTTCTATTTCCCCTTCACTTATATTTGAGGATTCCAAAAGATCCATGTCCATAGAAGCTTCTACCTCGTTTTCATATTCTGGGTTTGTTCTCTCAAGTCCAGCATCTGTATCATGATCAGGTTCACTGTGGTTAGGTACAGACGAAGTCTTCTCTGCTAAATGGTCACCGAGTCTTTTAATCTCTGACAAGATTTCATAGAAATGGCATTTTTGAAGAATAGCTGAACCAGAAGTGACAACCCTCACAGTCTGATCTAAAAGTATAAGCTCCAGAAGTCTCTGATAGCCACTTTTTTCACTCTGCCTACTTCTTAAAAAAGCTTCCATTCCTTCTGTCATATTAATAACGCTGTCCAAAGCTTTAAAAGCATTTAACTTAAGGGAAGATGAGACATGATTAGCAAATAGGAGCTCAAACAACACATTGATCACTCCTGCTTGTAGCAGTCCCATTACTCCATGAGATCCACATTCTGCTAGTGAGGACACTAACTTGGTTCCAGCTTTGAGCTGTCGGACATTTAAAGCGATGGGCTGGCGAAAGGCTACTTGTAAATTCAAAGCCTGCATTGTCCAGTCCACCAACTGGCCAAGGGCATCTTGTTCTGCATTTTTCAACTGCAAATAGCTTAATCCTTTTATTATTAAACTTGGAATTTCTTCTAAAGCTGTTACCCACTTTGCACCTCTATCTTCCTGATACAAATCTAATAGTTCCGTTAACTTCACTGAGGCTTCTATTACCCCTGAATTTTCTTTATCTGGACCTTGGTCCTTCATTCTACTGATTTCAATTTCAAAAGTAGTTTTGTATGGACAGCTGAAGTATAAGAGTGGAACCAGCTCCCTGTCATATGGGTCGTACGTCATGGGAGGAACAGAAGCTAGGTCTTCAGCAGTGTATTCAACATCAAAGTTTGGGTACTTAAATGTTTCACGTTCCAAGTCAGCAATTCCATCTTCATCACTGGAAATCTGTTCATAGCCATCATCTCCTGAAAATTAGTTTAATAGTTAAGTATTACATAACTGGTATTTAATGCATAAATCTGGGTTGATCAAAAGCACAAAAAATTATAGGATGGCAAACATTAACAGGTAATGATTTGTTCAACAAAATATATTTCTGCCCCCACTCATATCAACAACTGCCAACATTTTATAACTTCTAGTAGAACAACTACGAACAAACTTCCTAAGCAAATTCTTCTATTTTATCCGTTCTCCTTCAAAACAATCTCTGTAACTTCCTTGCAGGAAGAAAATTAGAAATGCCTGAAAGTAACAAAAATACCTTTCTCAGGAGGGAAGAAGTCTGCCCTCTTCAGATTGTTATTAAGGTAAATTTAAAAAAACTGGTGGGCAAAGATTAGTAAAGTTAAATAAAAATACCATAAATACAAGGTTAAATCAAATATGTCAGGGAAAAAATTGCATGTTATTTTTATATTTCATACTTAATTTTTACTCATCTGCATTTACCTATAATGCAGTTTCCTAGGTCTGTGTTACTTTTTTTAGGGAAATCTGTTCATTTAAAATGTTCAACTTTACCAAAGCAAAGCTTTCTTACCATGACATATGTGCAGGGGTTTTTTTATGCCAAATAAAACAGAAGTAAAGACATAAAACTTGTTGGTTTAATTTTCTAACACTACCATTGCTGGCTGTGATAAAATGGAGATGAGCAATAATGGCCTAGGAAAGAAAGGGATCCTATTTGCCATTCCTGTGCCTAACCTTATCAATACATTCTTATCAAAAAAAAAAAGTTTATAGGGGTCTGATGCTGAGACAAGCCAGATGTCTCATATTAAAACATCAAATTGGGCCGGGGATTTAGCTCAGTGGTTTCGCCGCCTGCTGCACAAGCGCAAGGACCCAAGTTCGATCCCCGGTACCAAAAAAAAAACCATCAAATTAACCAGCTTCATTCACTCACCTCTGCCAAACTGTCCTGATTAAGAAAACTGGCTAGGGCCAGGGATTTAGCTCAGTGGTGCCTCCGCCTGCCTCGAAAGTGCAAGGTCCTGAGTTCGATCCCCGGTACCAAAAAAAAGAGTCAATTCAAATAACTCTCACTTTCTGCTTCCAAAGGAAAAATAAAATCTAATTAAAAGACTGCAACATACTATCACATAGCCTTGGGTAACTTGAGACTTTTCCTCCTAAATTTCTAAAAATAATATAGTATTAAAAAAAAATAATAGGGCTGGGGATTTAGCTCAATGGTTCTGGCACCTGCGTCGCAAGCTCAAGGTCCCAAGTTCGATCCCTGGTACCAAAAAAAAATAATAATAATAAGGCTGGGGATTTAGCTCAGTGGTTCCACCACCTGCCTCTCAAGAGCAAGGTCCTAAGTTCAATCAGCAGTACAAAAATAAATTAATAAATAAATAATAATAATATAGTATTTTGCTAGAATATCTGCCAGACATCTTTGGGAATTTCACCCACCTTAAAATCCAACTCCTTACTCTGAAAACAGCCATCAAATCCTGACCACCACTGGGCCAGGGATTTAGCTCAGTGGTGCCGACACCTGCCTTGCAAGCGCAAGGTCCCAAGTTTGATACCAAAAAAAAAAATTCCAACCACCATGTGTTATTACAGAGCCCTGTTTACCTAGCCAAGGCTGATGGAATCAAAGAGCAACTCAAATCATGGCAAGCCAAACAGAAACTCTCTCCCAGGAAATAGGAATGGGACTGCAATACAGTCAGGCAGTTTGCTCTTCTTAAACAGGAAAATAAAGCTGTGGAGCAAATAAACAACAGTTGACAGAGAATAAAGTAGATGCATGAAAATTCAATACAAATCTCATTTGTACTCATGTCCTGGGGCCTAGCTAGACAACCCTTGGGTTTTTTGGGGGGATTTTTTGGTACCGGGGATCGAACTTAGGACCTTGTGCTTTCCAGCCAGGCGCAGCACCATTGAGCTAAATTCCCAGCCACCCTTGGGTTTCTTATAATCCCATTTATCTTTGCTATAAATTCCTTTGCACTGCTCAAAGTGAAATCTAGTTAGTTTTTAGTACATAAAATCAAAAGACCTAATATAACCCACCTTCACCTTCTTCATCCTCTTCACCTTCTTCTTCTTCTTCATCTTCCTCTTCCTCTTCAGGGATACTGTCTACTGTATGGCGGTCATCCTCATCCTCATCCTCTTCTTCCTCTACGTCCACATCATCTTCATCATCTTCTCCTTCTTCTTGTTGTTCTTCTTCTACTTCTCCTTCATCAGAATACTGACCTTCCTGGGGAACAGAATTCCGGTCAGGAGAAATGGGCTCAAAGTAATCTTCTCTATGGGGAACATCCTCCTCCTTGTCACCAGACACTGAAAAAAACGGTATTTAAGGCACAGATTACTTTAATGGCTCAAATAACACACGGCAGCAGGACTGGATATTGCAACTACGTAATGGCATTTTGGGTGATCTAGTTGGTAAATAACCTTTTTTTAAAATGTCAGAATTATGTGCTTTTAAAAGACATTAAAAGCACACATTATAGAGCTGGAGGTTTAGCTCAGTGGCACCAGCTCCTGCCTGGCAAGCACGAGGTCCTGAGGTTGACGCCCGGTTCCGCAAGAAAAAAAAAAGCAAGCAAGCACACATTATAGTATTTTATGTTCTAGGAACAGAGGTATTCCTTTTCTTTTTTATCTATTAAATAACTATACAAGCCCAACATGGTGGCACATGCCTGTAATCCTAGCACTTGGGAGGAGCCTGAGGCAGGAGAATTGCCACAAATTCAAGGTCAGCCTGGGCTACATAGTAAGACACTGTCTCAAAAAGAATTTAAGTAACAACTATATAGCTTTTTACCTCTTCCACCATATGCTTATTTTTAACTGGTACTCACCTGCACATACCATTACAGAATATCGATACTATTTTCAAAGCGATATTGGTACTGGTTCAAGTGAATTAACTTGATCTTTTTTTTTTTTGTTACCGGGGATTGAACTCGGGTCCTTGCACTTGCACAGCAGGTGGCAAAACCACTAAGCTAAATCCCCAGCCCAACTTGATCTATTTTTAACAAGTTCATTTGTCAACAGAAAAACACAAAGAAATACTGGACAAGATGAAGCATTTATCAAGATTTGACTACCAGCATCTAGTTTCCTTTCCTTAATTAAAAAGCACTAACTAACCCTGACTTTACTCATACCTGGCAAAGGCATAGGCTCATCTTCATCGTCATCAGGTGGAGGGGGTCCAGGAGGAGTTCTCGGTCCTCTTGGCTGCGGTCTTGGAGGGCTTCCATTAAACTGATCTTCTTTCTCACCATCAGCTAGTTTTATTAGAGACAGAAAAAACTCTCAAATTATTAAATATAATACAATGAATGCATGAAAAATGCTTTTCATAATTTAAATTTTCTATCTTCAGAATTTATGAATAAATACAAGCTTTTATTTCCTGGAGTCTGAACAGAAATTCTGCTAATTAATCTATACATTTGTAGAATTTTTACTTCCCATGCCAAGATACAATGCATACATTCTTAGACATAATCCCAGAGAAACTAGAATTTATTTTCATACAGGAAAAGGTACATAAAATAATCAGCCTCATTTGTAATAGCTGTATTTTATTTTATTTATTGGGGGGGGTACCAGGGATCGAACTCGGGACCTTCCACTTGCGAGGCAGGCGTCGGAACCACTGAGCTAAATCCTCGGACCTTAATAGCTGTATTTTAAATAGCCAAAACTTGGAAACTACTCAATTGTCCTTGAACAGGGGAACAGTTAAAAGTGTGGACTGAGTTGGGGGACGTGGATCAGTGTGATTAGTATGCATAATGCCCTGAACTCAATCCCTAAAACAGGGCGGGGTGGGGGTAGGGAGACAAGACACACGACTGTGGTACATCCATAGTACAGAATACTGCTCAGCAATTTTTAAAAAAGAACTAATGATATACTGAACAAAGCAGATGAATCATAAGGAAATTATATTAAATGAAAAAAGTTAATCTTGGGTCTGTAGGAGTAGTTCAATGCTAGAGCACATGTGTAGCATGAACAAGGGCTTAGGTTAATCTCAAGCACCATTTAATATAATGATTTTTTTTTTTTTTTTGGTACCGGGGATCGAACTTGGGCCCTTGCACTTGCAAGGCAGGGGGCGAAACTACTGAGCTAAATCCCCAGCCCAATCTCAAGCACCATTTAAAAAATTTAATCTCCCGAATGGATAAAGAAAATGTGGTTTTTTTATAAAATGGAGTACTACTCAGCCATAAAAAATGACAAATTAGAGACATTTATAGCTAAGTGGATGCACATTGAGGCAATACTCTTAAGTGAAATAAATAGGACACACATGTGTAAATACCGAATAGTTTCTCTGGTGTGAGAAACTGAAAGTATAAATAAGGACTAAATGTATAATAGGTAATGTGAAATAGGAAGAAAAGGGGCAAAGGGGAAGGAAGTGAGAGGGCTAGGGGAAAGGATAGAAGGGAATGGGATTAATAGGAGAAAATGGAAAAATAGGTACAAAATCTTTGTAAATAGGGAGGAATGGAGGGGTTGAAGGGAGGACTGGGCAAGGGTGAAAAATAAGAACCAAGAGAGATTATGTAAAGGTGCAAATTTCCAATGAGGAATGTCATTATATTGTATACCTAAAATGTACCAATGATTAGAATGAATAATCGATAATGTAAAATAGGAAGAAAAGGTCCAAAGGGGTAGGGGTAGTGGAAGGGGCAGGGGAAAGGAAAGAAAGGAAAGGAAAAATGATGAGAAATGGAAAAAATGGAAATAAAGTCTTTGTAAATAAGGAAGGATGGAGGGCGTGAAGGGAGGGCTAGGAATGGGGAAAAAATAAGAACCAAGATGCATTATGTAAAGGTACAATTCCCAATGAGAAATGTAATTGTGTTGTATACCCACAATGTACCAATAAAATAATTTAATTAAAAAATTTAAAATTTTAAAAAAATAAAATAAAATAAAAAATAAAAATTTAATCTCCAGGCCAGGGATTTAGCTCAGTGGTTCCAGCTCCTGCCTTGCAAGTGTAAGGTCCCAAGTTCGATCCCCAGTACCAAAAAAAAAAAAAATTAATCTCCAAGAAGTACTACATGATTCCATTTATGGAACATTTCTGAAATAATATAAGAAAATTAAAACAACATTCAGATTCTACCTTGCTCCAGAAAGAATGGCTATCATCAAGCAATCAAATAGTAGACCCTTAATTTACGAACTCAATATGTTCCCAAGGGCTGGTTGTAACTCAAGTTGGTCAATTGAAGGCTCAGGCTCCTCTACGCAGCCTTCAATGTCTCTCTCCTGTGTACAGGCAGATCTCAGTGTCCTTAGAGAGACACTGGCCCAGGATTTCTCAATTAATCCCACACAGGAAAGGATACTGTAATGTTCCTTCCAGAAGTTTTTAAGGGTTAAATCTGTATCTGAGAACACCTAGAAGCATAACTGGCTGGCATTCAGGTCATAACTCAAAACTCTGGTCGTAAGCTAAAACTAAAATTCTGGTTGTAACCCAAATCGTTCATGTCAGGCCAGTGGTAACTTGAGGGTCCACTGTTGTAATAACAAATGTGGAAGAGACTGTAGGGAAAAAGGAATCCTTCTACACTGTTTGTGGGAAACCAGTACAGAGAGTCCTCAAAAATTTCAAATAGGGCCAGGGATGTAGCTCAGCGGCACTGCACCTGCCTGGCAAGCACAAAGTTCTGAGTTCAATCTCTGTTACTGAAAAAAAAAAAAGATAAATGTAGAAAATGGATGCACCTTGAGCCCTTGTTAAATGAAGTAAATCAGACAAACAAGCTTAAATATTACCTGGTTTGTCTTATATGAGAGATTCAAAGTATAAATAAACAGCAAAATAAAAGATAGCTAATAGGCCGGGGATTTAGCTCAGTGTTCTGCCGCCTGCCTCACAAAACAAGGACCTGAGTTCGATCCCCGGTAACAAAAAAAAAGATAGCTAATAAGGAAGTAGGGAGATAGATCTTTCTCAACGGGGAAAGGGATCAAGAGATGGGGGGGAAGAGGAAGAAAAGGAATTGGGATGTGTTATACACATGTACTAACTCCCTACAAGGAATGTTAATATTATGTACTAGACACATGACTTAAAGACTTAGACAAATGACTTAAAGACTTAAACTGCATTAAATTTAACAAAGTAAATTCCTGCTGGGCATGGTGGCTCATGCCTGTAACCCCAGAACTTGGGAGGCTGAGACAGGAAGATTGCCAAAGTTCAAGGTCACTCTGAACTACATAGAGAGATCATATCTTAAAAAAAAAAAAACTCCTATTGAAAAGAATGGAATAATGACAGATATCAAGTCTTACATAAATTTCTAAAGATAGACAAGTTCTTTGAATTAGCTTTCCTTACCGTGAAAAACATAAGTTTGATAGGCAAAAGCAAATTTAAAATTCTCACCATGTTTTGGATTCCTTTTCAAACTCGGCTGTGGCTGGGGTGGTGGTGGGGGTGGAGGCGGGGGTGGTGGGGAGTCTCTGTCATGACTTATCACTCTGTCCACTGACCCATATATCGCCAGTGTCAGACAGTTGTACCAGCCTCTTAGCACCAGACCGTCAGTATTGACCTAATTTTTAGGAGAAAATAATCTTTCAAATGAATGTTTCTAACATGCAAGATACAAATTGAAATCAAATTAGTTTATTTTTTGTTTTCGGTACTGGAGATCAAACTCAAGACCTTGCACTTGCAAACCAGGTGTGTTGCCACTGAGCTACATCCCAGCCCAGTTTATGTTTTATCTAGTCTTTAAAAAGTATGCTAAAGGGAGCCGGGGATGTAGCTCAGTGGTTTTGCCGCCTGCTGCACAAGCACAAAGACCCAAGTTTGATCCCTGGTACCAAAAAAAAAAAAAAAAAAGTATGCTAAAGGGCCAGGGATTTAGCTCAGTGGCACCGCACCTGCCTGGCAAGCTCAAGGTCCTGAGTTTGATCCCTGGTGCCCAAATAAACAAAAGTATGCTGAAGCCATGCAAGGGGGCACATGCCAGTGATCCCAGCACTCAACAGGCTGAGGCAGGAGGATCACAGCAAGTGTGAACCCAGTCTGGGCTACACAATGAGTTCAAGACCAGCCTGAACTACATAGCAAGACCTTGTCTCAAAAAACAAAAAAAAAGAGCCCACTGTGCAGAAAGGAACAAAGATAAAAATGAAAGTAGATTTCTTGACTGATAACCATGGAGTAACAGCTTTAAAAGTCTAGGGGAAAGCCAGGGATGTGGCTCAGTGGTACCACACCTGCCTGGTAAGCACAAGGTCCTGAGTTCAATCCCAGGTACCAAAGGGAGAAAAAATGAAGTCTAGGGGAGGAAAAAAATCATGCCAAAAAAAAAAAGATAAAGTCCATGAAATCTTGTAGCATTGTTCTTACATACTCAAAACATGCATGGAGGTAATTTTACATACCCACATTGCACTTTTAAAAAGTGTGGCTACTCAGAAGCATTAAACAAATTGCTTTTGTAAAGAAACTTTCTTCTAAAAAAATGCAAAACAGAGCCAGGTGTGGTGGCACATGCCTGTAATCCCAGGACTCAGGATGCTGAGGCAGGAGGATCACTGTGAGTGAGGTCAGCCTGAACTACATAGTGAGACTCTGTCTCAAAAAAAAAAAACCTAAATAAATAAAGATGCAAAACTTCACCAATGTCATTAACCTTCAATATTTCCTCATAAAAATAACAACTGTCTTTCAGAATTCATCTACATTAATTGCTGGATCCTCACAGCAATTATGAGAGGTAGTCAGAGCAAACATTAAATTATTATTTCCTTTTCACAAAAGAAAACCTGAGAATGTATCTGAAGAACCTGCACTAGAAACCAAAACCCCTAACTTCTGAATTCTCTCCACTGCACTTCACTGGGTAAAGACAAAGCAATAAGTCATTGAAGCCTCTTGTAAAAGCAAAATACATAAGTAAAACAAAACAAAAAAGTTATTCTCTTCACTAGACTGTACAGTTAAAAAAGAAAGGCGGCTCAGAAGAAAAGTTCAAAGACCACACACAAGGATGACAGAAATTTGACTGGAAGGGAGATACACAGACACAGAAGATAATGTTTAGTCTAAAGAGGATGCTGGCTGGGTGTGGTGGTACATTACATGCCTGTGATCCCAGCACTCGTGAGGCTGAGGCAGGAGGACTGCCTTAAATTTGAGGCCAGCCTGGACAAGAAGAAAAGGGAGAGGGAGGGAGAGGGAGGGAGAGGGAGAGAGAGGCAGGCAGAAAGGGAAGGGGAGGGGAGGGGAGGGGAGGGGAGGGAAGGGAAGGGAGGAAGGAAGGAAGGGGCGAGAGAGTACGAGCAAAGAATCAAACACACATGGCTCCCAAAATCAAGCAGGAAACTGAGGAGTCCCATACTAGACCACAATTATTTTTGCATTTTAGATCTGCCATTAGATGCTTCTAGAATGGTATTTGATAAAGAAATAAGGTATACTCCTGATATGAAAGAAATATGAACAGTGTAATTTTTTTAGAAATCTTAATAAAGGCACAGTTGGTTTCTCATAATCACTCGCCTCTATCTTCCACACTTGTCCAACTAAATGAAAGAACCAAAGGCACAAATACTGGCTTCTTCCAGAATCAAATATAAAACGGGAAGAAAAATTCTTATACTTCAGGTAGAGAATGACACTATAATGTTCATTTACAAATTGCATCTGAATGCAAGAGACATGCACACAAGAAATGACAACGTACAGTACTAGAGCCAAATTCTGCCATCACTGGTTTATTTGGATCAAAAACTTTGAATGAAAGTAAGAATAAATAGTAGTGATAAGGGGAAAACTAGCTTCCATGATTACCTTTGAGTTGGGTCTAAAGATGATAGATGTATTCTCATCATATTCCAGGCTGCCAAAAGAGTAGGAATAAACATACAAGCTCAAACACTGAAAATCACAGATCACAAAGAAGCCTTTCTAAATTCAAATACTTCAATATAATCAAACACTGGATTTTTGTTTCAATTTAAAAAACCACAAAGTCTGGGTTAAATTTACTGTCCCCCCAACACTATCAATAAAAATATAAATCAAGATCCCAAAGATTCTGATTTAATTGATCCAAGGCAAGTACAGACATCAGTATTTTTGTAATTCTACTGTAAAGCCTAAAGTACAGAACCTCTACATTATAATCTTACAAAAATGTATATTAGGACCAAAATTTAAGAAAAACACTCTAGGACTGGGAGTTTGGCTCAGCGGTACAGCATTGGCTTAACATATGCAAGGCCTGGGGTTCATTCTCCAGCTACAGCAAAAAAAAGTAAAAGAAAAATAAAAGCATTCTGTTTTTATCGAGATTTTGACATCAATACAACCAGTTTTAATAAATCTAACATGTATCAAATAATATAAAAAAGAGCTATCTATTGACAAGTCTCATTTCACAAAATGTGACCATGAATTCTCAAATTGTGCAGTAGTGTGATGTAAAAGACACACCGAAAATATTAGTTCTCATTGTGTTTATGTAATTTTTCTTTTTGCTATGTAGTTCTAACTGGCTTTGAACTCACTATGTAGTCCAGGCTGGCCTTGAACTCACAGCAATCCTCCTGCCTCAGCCTCCTAAGTGCTGAGATTACAAGCATGCACCACCACACCTGGCCTGTTTATGTAATTTTTTTAAGAATCAAAAAGCAATCTTTTCCAAATTATGTTATTAGCAAATCATGTGATGGTATCATGTGTACAAGTATGCACAATTAAAAAACAAAAGATAGCTAATGTTTCACGCAGTTAAATTTTTATTTTGTGAATAAACTCAACATCCTCTTAGGAGTTTCATACTAATTTCATATTGCCAACTAATAAAACTGAACCCTGCATCCTTGGGTCTACTAGTAGATACATCCTTTTCTTGTCTAAAAATAAAAAGGTTTTGCCTACTAACTCATGAGTTACTGCCAAAATTACCTAGCAGGTACATACCTTCCCAACCTATCGAAAACCGGGGCACTTGGTTTGCTTACATTGTTGAAGAATAAGTCTAACTGAAATGTGTGCGGAGATGTCTCCCTGGGAATGAAACAAGGTAAAAATTTCAGCCTTTGAAACAATTAACACAACACAGTAAGTACCAAGTTAAGGCAATTCTAAGATTTGGTCATAACAGTCCTAAAATTTACATAGCAAAAATATGCAGTCACCTGGTATTTAATGAAATCATATCCAATTCTCAGACAGCCAACTGTTCATTTTAAGTATTATTAAGAATGAAATTTGTTGGGCTGGGGATTTAGCTCAGTGGTTCCGGCACCTGCCTTGCAAGCGCAAGTTCCCAAGTTCAATCCCCAGTACGAACATAAAAAAACAAAAAAGAATAAAATTTTTTAAAATAATAAAATAATTTTAATCATCTTTCATCTGCTACTTGGTATTTACATTAAACATTTTAAAGGCAAATGCTGTTGTAATTATTTAATTGTATAATTATATCACCCTTCCATTCATTAACAAAAAGACTTATAAATAAACTTCAAGTTGAACATTATAATTACAATTTCACTTCAACTTAGTCCACATTAATATAAGACCATAATAACTATAGCAATAGAGCTCTGAATTGTAACTTAAAGCATAAATCTGTTAGCTCAGCTGTTGGGACATTCGGTGCTAAAGAGTCCACTAAAGACAACGGATTCCACTTAGATCTGTTTTCTCCTCCGGCTCCCTCCAGGGAGACGCACCAGGCAGATTTTCTAACTTGCCTACCCAGTAGGCTCATGTACAGGCCCAGGCAAAGAACACACAGCCACACCTTATGACATTTAGGGAGTAAGACAGAGATTCTACTGGATTCACAGAAGACGGCCTCTGAAAGAAGGCTCCTGACAGTCATTTTCTGAGAAGGGGAAACAGCAGACACTGAAAAGCACAGCTAGTTATAATTTATCTAAATATTTGGGGGTGCTGGTAATTATATAGGTAAGATTAAAGCCTATTTAATTTATATTACACTGAAATTTTACTTAATATAAAAAGATGCTAGCTATATCATAGCACCTTGAGCTTAAATTCCTTCAGCTCACCTAAAATCTTGATTTGAAGCACTATGAATTTTGTTGATCATTTACATAACCATGCATATGGTAGAAAGTAAAATGTCCAGAGTACTATCAAAGAGATTCCTTCATGCACTTCTGGTAGAACTAAAACAGGTTCAATCGCTCTGAAAGGCAACATAGTGACAAAACTCAGGAGACCGAGAAAATATTCCTATCATTTGATCCGCTTTTTCCTGGGCAGTCTTTCTATGAAAACATGGATAATATGTAAATAAAGCATATTTCAAGAGTACTTTTTGTTTGTTTTGCAGCTAGGGATCAAACCTAGGATCTAGCGCAACGATGCTACTATTGAGTTACAACCCAAGAATATATTAATCACAGTCACTTGTGATTTCAAAACTAAAAATCATCGAATGGCCCCCACATAAGGAATGTCAAATGAATTACAGCAGTCATTCATTCATTCATTAGACCATGCATCTATTAGAAATCACATATTCTAGCAATATTTAACACTGAATGTACTTCTCACATAACATTAAAGAATACACAAAGTAGTACATATATAGCGGGGTCAGAATAGCAGCACACATCTACTTTACCCAAATTCAACCATGCACACCAGCAATTCCAATCTCTTCTTCTTGCCTTTCCTCTTCATGCTATATCCTGGCCTCCAATGTGTCCAGAAACAAAACGGGTTGAAATGCAAGTTCTTTACTTTGGAGCCCTCAAAGGCTGAGGTCTTGATCACTGAAAAGTGATTTAAAGAACCGGGGACTAGGGATTTAGCTCAGTGGTGCCTCCCTTGCCTTGCAAGCCCAAGGTCCTGAGTTTGATCCCTGGTACCAGGAAAAAAAGTGATTTAAAGAACTGAAAGTTGAGCCAGGTATTGTGGCACATCCCTGTAATCCAAGCACTCAGGAGGCTGAGGCAGGAAGAAAGTTCAAGGCCAGCCTGGACAACTTAGCAAGATCTTGACTCAAAACAAAATAATGAAAAGGGCTGGGATGTAGGGATGTGGCTCAATGTACCCTGGTACCCAGTACCACACACACAAAAAAGAACCAATGGTCATTTGATTGCATTGGACTTTTATTTTACAACTTACTGGCTCTACATAAACACACATATATATATACACAAACATATTAATGGTACAGATGGCGCACATGAATCCACTCACTAAAATAGGGGGTTTTTTTGGTGACAGGGATCGAACTCGGGACTTTGCACTTGCAAGGCAGGCAGCAGAACCACTCAGCTAAATCCCCAGGCCTAAAATAGGTTTTCTTGTTGTGAGGAAAAGTTTATTCCTGTGAACAAGGACTAAAATTAGGGAGATTCTAGCAGCTAGCAGGGAACAAAAACAGTATTTGTATAAATTTTGGGGAAGGCCTGATAATAATATGCCAAATGCTATTAGGATTCTCTCAGGATGGAGAGATTATAGGAATTTTAATTTTACCTATGTACTTCTGGATTTTATTTATTTTGTTGTAGTTGTTGTTTTGAGACAGGGTCTCACTTATGCATTCAGGCTGGCCTTCAAGCAACCCTCCTGCCTCAGCTCCCTAGAGCTGGGATGATAGGCATGTACCATCATGCCCAGCTTCAACCAACAAAGTAGAAGGGGGGGCTCCTTCTTCCTTGCAACTCTTTTGTTTGTTTGTTTTTCATACCGCGGATTGAACTCAGGACCTTGTGCTTGTGAGAGACAGGCAGTGGCACCACTAAGCTAAATCCCCGGCCCTTGATTTTCCTTGCATCTTTATTAGGTTTTATTTCAAACTAATTCTATTTTCAAGAAAAAGGTTAAAAACACTTCATTTATTTGATTATGCCATCCCAGAATATTCTGGAAAATATAAACCTATTTTCACTAACTTTTTTTTTTTAAGAGGATGAATAAAGAAAAGCCTTACCTACTATTTAGGTTAATACTTCCTCCTTTCAAGTTATGATGATACATGCACTATATAGAAACCTTAGGAGTTAATTACAATGTACCATAACCATAACCCAATGAAGTTTCGGGGTTTTAAAACTTGCAAAGTAGTACCTTAAATTTTTGCATTTAACAGTGTTTCAGGGGCTTGGAAAGTAGTTCAATAGTAGAGCATCTGCCTAGCATGCATGAGGCCCTGAGTTTGATCCCCAGCACCAAAAAAAAGTTCCTAAGACAGTCATAAGTCAAAAAGCTTTTGGGCCGGGGATTTAGCTCAGTGGTTTCGCTGCCTGCTGTGCAAGCACAAGAACCAGAGTTCGATCCCCGGTACTAAAAAAAAAAAAAAAGCTTTTACGAAAAGAGTTAACTTACCCATATGCTCTATTGTCAGGCAGGCTGCTATGGGCTCTTACTCCTGGGGGTATGACTCGGACTTCATTGATATAAACCACACATGGGAAACGAACCACATCTATATGAGAACTTTGCTTTAAAAAAAGAGCGGGGGAGAGACATACTGTGAGCAAAACACTGCTTCTCAATTCAAATCTTTTAATTTTTTTCCCTCAAAATGTCACACATAAACTTAAATTCCATATGATTAAATATATTTTATTATTTACAGTATATATAAATCTTTTATAAAAAACAGTTGCTGTAAAAGAAAAAAATACAGCTGCTGATACAATACACCTTATTAAGTCTCTCAATTAGTATAACATTTTCTGGAGTGCATTTATCTCTCTTATGATGTTTTGCCTAAATCAATACAAACCAACAACCCCTTATCAGTAACCTCTGGAGCCAGCTGTCCTTCAAAATTCTGAGGGTTCTTGGAGACAGGGTCTTGCTATGCAGCTCAGGCTGGCCTGGAACTCACTGTTCAGTCCAGGCTAGCCTCCAACTTGTGGCACTACTCCTACCTCAGTTTCCCGACTTCTGGGATTACAGGCATGTTGCCACCATGCCTGGACAAAACCCTGAGGTTTTGAATTTTTACAAAGGTAATAATACTATATGATATAAATACTGCATATTTCTCTTTTCTGTTTTTCCTGGTACCAGGGATCAAACTCAGGACCTTGCACTTGCAAGGCAGGCACCATGCCACTGAGCTAAATCCCCGGCCCCTTTGTTTTTGTTTATTTGTTTTTAATACTGCATATTTCTTAAGGCCACTACCTTATAACCAGACATTAATATTTCTGCAGCCATACAAACATTCACACTGTATAAAGACTATAACTAAAAGCCAGACACAGTGGCGCACATCTGTAATCCTAGCATTCTGAGAAGCAGGGACAAAAAGCACTGACAAGTTCGAACCTCCCCTGGGCGACCTAGGAACTAAGTGGGGCCCTGTCTTAAAATTTTTAAAAATTCATTTTAAAAGAGGGGCTAGGATGTACCTCAATATAGAGACGTAGGTTCATTCCCAGTACCCCTCCAAAGTGTATTATTAGCATCATATCAGTTCAAATCAGACTACACAGCCAAATAAACTCAGGGAAGATTTTTCTGCCATTTTTCATTTTTTGAATTACAAATAAGAGACTGCAGATCTGTATTTAGATTAGCTTACTTTGCTAAACTTTACATACCAACTCACATCAAGAAATCAGAGAAATCACTTAAGATACTGAATAGCTGAGGTATCCTTCCCACCAAATTTTTTTTTTTAAATCCACAAACTAAGATTCTACCATAAAAAAAGAATTGGGGCCAGGGATTTAGCTCAGTGGTTCCGGCACCTGCCTCGAAAGCATGAGGTCCCAAGTTCAATCCCCAGTACCAAAAAAATAAAATAAAATAAAATAAAATAAATGGGTGATATAAGTTATATTCAGTACATACTTATCTCTATGAAACATCTGACACAGAATAAGACAAATGTAGCTCTCATGGTCAGTAATAAAAAAATTTTTCACATTATTTTTGGACTATTTTATATCAACGTTTCCTAGGAGTTCAGTCAACTATCATTTCATGTGGTGGTCAAAATTCACCATGGGAGAATGTATCACATTCTTTACATATATAGAAAGGATGAATCTCTCAAGCTGCAAAGAATTATCATCCATATCGACAGAGCAAAAGAACAATACATTAGTATTCCTGATATCCCAAAATGTGATGGAGGATGACTTTGTAATTTTGCACATTTAGGAGGTTTGTGTGTGTGTGCATGCGTGCGTGTGTGTGTGTGTGTGTGTGTTACTAGGGATTGGATCCACAGCCAAGCTACATCCCAGGGCCTTTTATTGCTTCGTTTTGCTTTTTGTAGTACTGAGCACTGAACCTAGGGTCTTCATACTGACCTATATCCTTAACCTTTTTCTAAAATTTTGAGACAGGATTGCAATAAATTACTAAATTTCCCAAGCTAGGCTTGAACTTCCAATCTTCCTCCCTCAGCCTCCTACAATGCTAGCTTACAGGCATGTGGCAACATACATGCCTGACTCCCAGCCTTTTTTGTTATTTTCTTTTAATTTGAGACACTCTTAGTAAATTGCCAAAGCTACAAACCTGTAATCCTCCTGCTTCAGCCTCCTGAGTAGTTAAGATTACAGGTATCCACCACCTTGCCCTATTTTTAACATGGAGATTAATTATATAGGTATAAATATCTGAAAATGATTTTCACTGTTCAAATGTACTTTGCGGACTGGGGGGGGGGGGCAGCTCAATGGTAGAAGACATGCTTAGCATGCACCAAACTCTGGGTTCAAGAAATTGCAACCTCTGTATTGATAAAAATACATGTATTGCCAAAAAAAACTACAACCTTAACATCGCAAAATTAATTAATTCACATTAAGCCTTTCATTGACATAAAACACAATAAATGCAAAGTGAGTCTGACAGTTAGTTATGTTCCAGTATCAATTTCTTTCTCTTCTAGAGATATTTCAACTGGGTACAAGTCAGCTAAAGACTATTTCCTGGGCTCCCCAGAAGTACATGCAAATGCATCCTTCCTAAATTCTGATCAATGAGATGTGAAGGGAAATGCAGGCAAGTCTGGGTCATGTCTTTAGAGGGAAGGTTCTGACTTCCAGACTCTCCTTCCACTTCTTCCAATAGTCTACTGTCTTTCTAGAACACAAACATTAGGATGCACTATTACAGACAGTGCAGGCAATACAGGGTCCCCAACATTGTAGAAGAGTCAGATTAGCCTCAAATTATTTCCATCCAGATTACTGAAAGAGAAAATCCTATATATGTAAAGCTATCATTATGCAGACTCTTGTTAGCAGCTGATCTTGTATTCTAATAACAAAGATACCTTAGGTATTCAATAAATGTCACAGTAGGTATATAAAAGAAACATTCTGTCTCATGCTTTGGTGCCACACTTCCTCACCCTCCTCCCCTTTTTTTTGGTTTTTCAAGGCAGGGTCTTGCTATGTATGTAGTTTAGGCTGGCCTTTAAACCCTGGACTCACTGTGCAGCCTAGGTTGGCCTCAAACTTATGACAATCTTCCTCCCTCAGCCTCCCAGTACTGGGATTTTAGGTGTGTGCCACTATGCCCAGCTTTATACTCCCTCCTAATAACAAACTCCTTTATTTACTCTACTAAGAATTCCATGGGCCGGGGATTTAGCTCAGTGGTTTCGCCACCTGCTTCGCAAGCGCAAGGACCCAAGTTTGATCCCCGGTACCAAAAAAAAAAAAAAAAAGAATTCCTTGACTTACATAGTTACTGTTAAGGTTTATACTGTATTTAGATGTCCCCCCACAGCCTCATGCACTCAGAGCCAGGGCTTTTGAAAGATGACTGAATCGTGGGGGTATATAGCTAAATGTGATGTTGGGAGGTGGGTTTTGCTGGAAGAGGCGGGCCAGTAGGGTGTGACCTAGAAAAGTATATCTCCCTCCTGGCTCCTCCTCCTCTCTCTGCTTCCTGGCAACCATGAGTCGCTTTTCTCCACCCAGGCTCTTCTACTATGATGACGACCACACAAGCACAAACTTCTAAAACATGAACCAAAATAAACTTCGTTTCCTTTAAGTTGTAGCTTCAGGTATTGTGACCCAGTAAAAGAATGTAACTAAGATTTTGGTACCAGTCCATAATTTCAGTACTCGGGAGGCTAAGGCAGGAGGATCACAGGAAGTATGAGGCCAGCCTGGGATACATAGTGAGTTCAAGGCCAGCCTGAACAACACAGGGAGACCTTGTTGCTGTGATTACCTAATCACATGTTTCAGAAGCCTCTGCAACTAGTTTGTAGGAGTTCCGAAAGGTTTAGAGATATCAGCTGCAAGAAACTCTAGAATCTGGAAGCCAAGCTTGATGGCAGATTCTGGTCAGAGCTCAGAAGACCAGAACGCTGATAGAAATACAGGTAAGAACCAGTTCAGGAGGTTTTAGTTGGGAACAGGGACTCAACTGGCAGCTAGACTCAAGACCATGTGTGTTATGTGCTGGCAGAAAATTTGTCTACACTTTTGCTCATCCATTAAGGCTGGTGAACTAATTAATCTCACAAAGGAAATGCCAAGGCAGCCCAAGGTTAGGCTGTGGCATGGGTACTAGTGGGAGCTTACAGCCAGGTCTACATTGAGAATCAAATGCAAAGAGCAGAGCTAAGTAATTTTAAATTCTGTTTTGCTTGAAAGGAAGAGCCTATAAAATTCTGGCAGCAGAGAGCTGGGTCACTAAAAAGATTACGATTAAAAAGCCAAGTACTGAGCCGGGGATTTAGCTCAGTGGTTCCGTCACCTGCCTTGCAAGCACAAGGACCCAAGTTTGATCCCCAGTACCAAAAAAAAAAAAAGACAAAAAGCCAAGTACTTTACAACAGGACAATAGGAAAGATGCCTCACAGGCACTTCAGAAATCAGCAAAACCCCACCTTCACAAGCTATAAGGCTTAAAAGTGAAAGACTTTGCTGAGAAGAAAGCCCTGGGGAATTAACTAGGAAAGTTTCCCAGAACACAGCCATCCAGGCACTTACAGGCCTCTGCAGCCACAATTAAAGGGGGCCAGGCTACTGCTCACTCCAGTGGCAGATGGCATCCCCCATGTAGTGCTGGTTTTACAGCCAGGCAGAATACAAGAGGTATGGGAGGTCAGGGAGGCTTCCAGCAAGATTTCAAAAGAATGCCTGGGAAGCTAGGCAGTGTATTCATGAGAGGACAGTGAATATGAAGTTGAAAATGCAATGGAGACCTGAAGAGTTTGGAGAAAACAGGAATGTAGAATTTCTGCTAAGGAAGGCCAAAGGCAGTGAGAAGAGCCTGCCCAATGGTGGCCATGGTGACTGCGGGAGGCACTGCCAGAGGGGCAAGGCCACCCAAGCCATTTGGAGTTTGTAGGGTCGGCTTTAGCTCAAGAGGTTACTTCCTCACGCCGGACTTTCCATTTGGAGTTTGCAACTAGTGGCAACTTGCCCTAGGTGCTAGACACTGGACATGAAGCTACAGGATTTAATGTTTGCTCTGCTGGGTTTTGGTCTTATTTGGTCCTATTCATTTCCTATTCTCTTGTTCCTCCCTTTTGGAATGGGAATGTTTATCCTGTGCCACTATATGTTGGAAGTGTTTAACTTTCTTTTGATATTTACAGGAGCTCACAACTAGGAGCTTTCTCTGAGTCTCAGAGGAAATTTTGGGCTTGGATTTTTTTCAGCAATGCTAGAATTGTTAGGACTTTCACTATTCTTAGAATGGACTAAAAGCATTTTGCATAAAGAGATGCAAATGAGCCTTTGGGGGATCAGAGGCAAAATGTTAGGGTTCATATCCCTCCCCCCAAAAAAGTGTCATGCGCTTATAGACAGAGCTTTTTTTTTTTTTTCCATACGGGGGGTCAAACTCAGGACCTTGTGCTTTTGAGGCAGACGCACGGCCACTGAGCTACATCCCCAGCCCAGCAGAGCTCTTTTTTTGGTACTGGGGGTTGAACTCAGGACCTTGCACTTGTGAGGCAAGCAACGGAACCACTGAACTAAATCCCTGGCTCACAGCAGAGCTTTTTTGAAAGGTAACTGAACCATGAAGGCTTTATACCTAAATGCGATGTTGGGAGGTGGAGTCTGGTTGGAAGAGGCAGGTTACTGGGGATGTGAACTGGAAGGGCATACTGTATCTCCTTCCCTGGTTCCTTCCTTCTCTCTCTGCTTCCTGGCTGCCATGACAAGAGCAGTTTTCCTCCCACCAGGCTCTTTTGCCCTTCCACCATGTAGCTGACCATTAAAGGACTAAAATTTCTAAAATAAATCTCTCCGCCTTTAAATTACAGGTATTAAGTATTTTGTCCCAGCAAAGAGGAAAGTGACTAAGAAGTTATGAATGCTCATTAATGTGTACAAAGAAAGCTTAGAATAAATGTTTATCAACTCTATCCTCCTCCACCCTATCCCCTACTAATGAATGGTATGAGGGTATGGTCACTGTGGACCTTAACAAAAGAAAGAAAGAAATACTTAAGGATTTTCAAACAGCCTTTCAAAATGTATTGATTGTTTGTAAACAGAAGTTTCTGTATAGTTGCTACCACTTTTGTTAAAATTTTTTAACAGTTATCAAATGTCTATTAAGTTCCAAGGTATAAGAGATTCTGAGGAAACAAGGTAAGACAAACTCTGCCATTAAGGAAGAGATACTCTATTGTAGCAGCAGATAAACTGCCATAGGACAGATGCACGCTTGATGCTACGAAAACTCAGAGGAGGACCAGGGATTTAGCTCAGTGGCACCATGCCTGCCTCCCAAGTGCAAGGTCATGAGCTCAATCATGTAATTTGTCTACTCAAAAACTACCCATTTCGGGGCCGGGGATTTAGCTCAGTGGTTCCACAGCCTGCCTCGCAAGCGCAAGGACCCGAGTTCGATCCCCGGTACCAAAAACAAAAACAAAAAACAAAAACTACCCATTTCCTACAAAAAGTTTATACTCTATTGGACATTCAATCCATGAGCTGGCTTTGAACTGCCTATCCGCCTTCACACTGCTGATCGGGCACACATTAACAGATGACTGACTACTCAAGTAAACACATTCTTTTCCTGACTACATTCCCCATTCCACTAAAGATCAAGTTCACAGGTCAAACACCTTGATAGACAGGGCCGGGATGTAGTTCAGTGGTTCTAGTGCCTGCCTCACAAGCACAAGGTCCCGAGTTGGATCCCCAGTACCAAAAAAAAAACAAAACACCTTGATAGAGTCTTCCCTGATACCCTCAAGTGAAGAGTGATCTCAGCCAGGCATGGTGGTACACTCCCATAATCGCAACACGGGCTGAGGCAGGAGGGTCACAAATTCGAGCCCAGCCTGGGCAACTTAGGGATTAACAAGATCCTGTCTCAAAAAAATAAAAAAAGCTGGAGATCTAGCTCAGTATAAATGTCATGGGTTCAATCGTCAGCAGTGAGAAAAAAAAAACAGATTTCTCTCCTCTGAAATCACAGGGCCTTTATACTCACAAAGGAAAGTAAGTATCAACTGTGGTCCTAAAATGTCATCAGCTACTGATGTTTTGGAAATAAGATGATAAATTCCAAGGAATTCTCATTGTGCCTTTCCGTGCACTCATCACATTTTAATATGTATTATAAATTTTGTAAATCTAATCTACAATACTTAATTATAAATTTTTTGAGAACAGGTATTTCAATATTTATCTCCCATAAACCCTTACTCCTTCAAGACTCAGTTCCAAATGTGATCTCTACTAAATGCTCTCTATTCACCTCCATAAAAAGGTGAATATTTCCTTCCCTATCATTGCATGATCCACAAGATATGTCTAAGATTGAATGAAGGCGGTGCTCAGGTAGCAGCACATTGCTGTAATCCCAGCTACTCAGGAGGCTGAGAAAAAGAGATCAAAAACTCAAGGTATCCTGGGTAAATTAACAAAACCCTGTCTCAAAATTTAAAAAGGAATGGGGATGTAGCTGGGTAGTAGAGCACCTTGCATTCAAATCCCCAGTACGAACAACAACAAAAGAAAGTAACAGATTAAATAAATGATGGATGAATGAATGCCAAACTTCCTCAACACAACAGGTTTATTCTGATACAGCTACTGTTGCCATTGTAAATTTCCTAAAGCTGGAATTATAGTCACAGAAGTATAGCAGTCATTGAACAGTGCTAACTGACCCACATGAAACACAAGGCCATAAATAAATTCCCTGCCACTAAGATATGTGAGCCTCAAACTACTCAACTTTTAGGGCCGGGGATTTAGCTCAGTGGTGCTGCTGTCTGCCTCAAAAGCACAAGGTCCAGAATTCGATTCCCGATACCAAAAAAAACTACTCAACTTTTGACTTCTACAGATAGATTAAAAGATCAACATTATCAACCACTACCCATATCATCACTACTCTATAAAAGAATATTTTAAACATTTTCATTCAAATAATTATTGACCACCTGTATTTTTTTAGATACTATCCTAGGCACTAGAGACACAGCTGAGAACAAAAGACACTATCTATCCTCAAGGAGCATATAATACCAGAACATACTCTGGCCGGCTGCCTGTATCCCAGCTACTTGGGAGGCAGAGGCAGGAGGATCATGAGTTCTAAGCCATTCAACAAACCTTGCCTCAAAAACAAGATACAGAGTGGGGCACGGTAGTGCACACCTGTAATCCCAGCACTCAGAAGGCTAAAGCAGGAATATCTCCATGAGTTCAAGGCCAGCCTGGGCTACACAGTGAAGTCTAGGGCAACCTGAACTACATAGTGAGACCCTGTCTCAAAAAAACAAGCAAACAAACAAAAATAGAGTATAGAACTAACTAAGGATGGTGGGGCATGGTGGCGCACCCCTGTAATCCCAGCACTCGGGAGGCTGAGCCAGGAGGATCGCCATAAATTCGAGACCAGCCTGGGATTACATTCGATTAAATTCGATAACCCTATCTCACAAAAAAAAGAAAGAAAAAGAACGTAGGTCAGCAGTCCTTGAGTTCAATCCCTACTACTAAGGAACCTACTCTTCATAAAATGCAAAAGGAAAGAAATAACCTTTAAAAATATAAAATCTCTAAATCGATAAATTTACTTAAAACAGAAAAATGGATGTTGTTTTCTTTCTTCCTCAATGACTCTGTGGTCTGTTAGACTTTATTTCTGGCCAACTTTCTGGAATCTAATTAACTAGCTACATTCAATTTAAGCATCTCAGAGCCATTCATACGCTCAGAGGCGCTCCAGCAATTTGGTCCTGAAAGATTGATCCACAACTGCTACCCTCGCCGCTCAAAAAGGCAGCACATTTGGTTTGTGCAGACAGCTTCGACCACAATCCGTTCTGCAACTTTCCCCGCTTCGGAAAGACTCTCCGTGCAAAGGAGACGTAAGCATCTCGTGCCCGATGTGTGGAATCTTCCCCCAAAGTATTCAGTCGCATGACAAACTGAGGACGCTACACTCCTAAACCGGAAAGCGTCACAAAGGCAAGTAGAGACGTCGTAACTTGGGGACCCCGAAGGTAGAGCAAGCTGCTCAAACCTCTGCACTGCTGTCAAAGACGGGCTGCCAACCGCCCCCCCCCCCGGTACACCCAAGAACGACCCTGCAGAAAATGGATAAGAACGAGCACCGCCACTCGAGCGGCCATCTCAACACCGGCGAGGAGGGCGTGAGTGAAAGCCGGGAGAACCGGGGGTCGCGCCGCCTCCCTCGGGCGCGGCTCTTACCGCGGGCTGGCGGTGGGTGGTGGGCGGTGCGCGTGAGGATTCAGAGCCACAACCTGCAGAAGGGAGAGTCCAGGGCGCCTAACGGCTTTTCCAAGAGTCCCCACGTCTAGGAGCAGGGTCTGAATCGCGTCGCCAAGCCTTACCTCAGCGCTCGGATGTTTAAAAGTATCTAAAAATAGCAGCTCCATCGCCGAGTCTACCGCCATGTTTGCCGCGGGCGGGGGAAGGGGGTAGACTTCCGGGGCAACGCTCCAGCCTCGGAGACAGCGGCCCGGGAGAGGGAGAAACGGCAGCACTTCCTGTGACCGCACAGCGAGCGCCCCAAGCTTCGGCCTATCCCGACGCGTCTAGAGACCGGGACTCGCTGGCCCCGCCTCCTCCAGCGCGGCGGAGGGCGCCCTCGGAACGCGGGGCGACACGGTCGGGAGAGGAGGGGCCTACGGGATGTCCAGTGGTCCAAATCCCGTCGTTCTGCTTGGTTTCAGCCTCGCCAACCTCGGGGGCTCGGGATGGAGGTGGTTTCCTGAGGGTGGGGGAGGAGACTGAACGGGGCCCGGCCCGATGATTTCCGAAAAGCAACCTTTCCAGCTCTGGAAGGAAAAGAAGAGAAACGTGCAGCAAGGTTGAAAAGTAGGACATTTCTTTTTTTTTTTTTTTTTTTATACCGGGGATCGAACTCGCGTCCTTGCGCTTGCGAGGCAAGCGGTGGAACCACTAAGCTAAATCCCCGGCCCAAGATACTTCTTAAAAAGAAGAAAAAAACGAAGATTCCTTGTTTTCTCATTTGTAATCTGGGTGATACCTAACCCACAGGCTGTGAGGATTAATTGAAATAAAACTCAAATAATTATATAAATGAAATATCATGAATAATATAAAAAGGGAGGAGAGTGAAAAATAATTCTCTGTCAGGTGTTGAGCGTGGAAACACCTGGAACACAGCTGGTTTGTTCGTCTGAATTGGCACAAACCCTTAACACAGCGCTTAGGGAATAATGAGTAAAATTGTATACGCCCATCTGCTACGAAAATTCTTGCACTAGTGCCCGAAGAAAGACCTACAAATATGAAGATTTTCATGCACTACCGCTGAACAGTGACTGTAAATACGTAGTTGCCACTGCACAAATAAACGATGGTATATAGCAATTGGAAAGAATGAACTGTTGCTATATCCAGCTGGGCGTGATGGCCTGTAATTCCAGGACTTGGGAGGCTGAGGCAGGATTGCAAGTGAGTTCTATCTAGGCCACGTAGTGAGTTAGGACCCAGTCTGGACTACATAGCGAGACCCTGTCTCAGGAAACAAACGAAAACAAAAAAACCTAGTGCTATATCTAGTAACATAGATAATCTAAAAGCAAGATTAAACAAAGGGTGAGAAATTGATGCTGTAAAATAGCATTTATATAATTCAAAAGTACACGACAATATAAGTTCAGAGGCATCCTATCAAATCCTAAAGAAATGCAAAATTAAAATTTCATGTTAGTGGCGAGCTAGAAGGATTTGTAATGGAAAACAGGATCTCACATGCTTTAAAAGTATTTTATTTAGGTTTGTAGTGGTTTCATGGGTGTGCCTCATATTATTCTTTGTACCTTTTGGAATGTCTCAAATATTTAATAAATTTTTATAGTAAATCTCTTGTCCACCCCCTTCCTCCTCAGCTATCCAGTTTCCTGTTAGCTAAGATTAGCCATTTTACTATCAGTTTTTTCAAAGAACCAATTCTTGCATTCATATTTATTTTTATCAACTGAGTGTAGTGGTGCACACCTGTAAACACAGCACTTAGGAGGCTGAGGCAGGAGGATCGACACAAGTTCGAGGCTAACCTGGACTACATAGTGAGTTCAAAGCCAGCCTGCCATAACAAAGTGAGACCCTGTCTCAAAGAACAAACAACCACAAAAAAAAAAAACTATCAAAGGGCTAGAGATGTAGCTCAGTGGTAGAGTGCTTGCCTAGCATGTGTGAGGCCTTAGGTCCATCCCCAGCATGATGGAAGGGGTGCCACCGAGGACACAAACCCACCAAAGTGTCTGTACCATTTTGCATTCTCACCAGAATGAATAAGAGTTCCTGGGCCAGGGATGTAGCTCAGTGGCACTGCCTCTGCCTGGCAAGCACAAGGCCCTGAATTCAATTCCTGGTTCTACAAAAAAAAAAAAAAAAAAAAAGAGTGCCTGTTCCTCGGCATCCCCATCAGCATCTGGTGTTGTCTGTGTTTTGGACTTGGGTCATTTGGGTGTATGGTGGTATCTCATTGTCTAAAGTTAAAACTCCATAATGTCATGTGATGTTTTGTTTTGGGGGTTTTGGGTTTTTGTTTGTTTGTTGGGTTTGGTTTTTTTCTTTGAGACAGCGTCCCACTATGTAGTCCAGGCTGGCCTTGAACTCACAGCAATACTCCTGTCTCAGCCTCCCGAGTGCTGGGTTACAGGTGTACACCCCTACACTCAGCATGACAAGTGATGTTGAACATCGATTCGTGTGCTTATTTGCCATCTGCTTTGATGAAAGTCTTTTTTTGAGGAAGCAGAAGCGCGGCGGGGCGAGAAGGTTGTGGAGCTGGGGTAGAGCTATTTTTTCCTGTGTGGTCCCGCGGCCCTCTGGGCCGCCATGATCCGACAGTGCGGACCCCAGGGCGCCCTCCTGTCCCAGGTAATGATAAAGGGCTGATCATTTGCAACTGAGCACAAGTGAAACAAAATAGGAAGATGGCAGCAAACTCTTCAGGACAAGGTTTTCAAAACAAAAATACAGTTGCAATCTTGACAGAACTGGACAAAGAAAAAAGAAAATTACTTATGCAGAACCAATCTTCGACAAATCACCCTGGAGCTAGCATTGCGCTCTCCAGGCCCTCTCTTAATAAGGACTTCCGGGATCATGCTGAGCAGCAGCATATTGCACCCCAACAGAAGGCAGCCTTGCAGCATGCTCATGCACATTCATCTGGATACTTCATAACTCAAGACTTTGCATTTGGGAATCTTATTCTTCCTGTTTTACCTCGCCTTGACACAGAATGAAGAAAATACCTGTGATGAAAGGGACTGTAATTTCAAAGGCCAAAGCTACTCTCATTCACTGCTGTACGAACTGTGACTTTCAGAATTTTGGTGAACTTATGTATTTTTTTTGCTTCTTTAAGAGAAAGGAGTATGTAAGTGAAAGTGAAAAGAAGGGGAACCAGAATGATGGGAGCTTGGAAGATTTATCATTTGAGGAATTGATTATGCTGCCCATGACTTTAATTTTTTTGTAACGCCATTTAACTCTAAATTGGATAGTCACATAAAAATGAGCCTCCAGACCCCAACAAGTTGGACTGAGTATTCCATGTCTACAATTGGCTTTCAAGAACCATTTATAGTACTTATTAAAGAAATAAGTATTTTAAAAAAATGTTAACCAATACCTTAAATAAGGAATTCATATATAGTTTATGGGATTGATGTGGTATTGTCTTTTGAATTTAGAGTCAACATATCATGCAGAAATATTCTTTGTGAAATCCTAACTAGTTCTCCCATTCTCCATTTTAAAAGAAACCCCAAGACTAAATTACTAACCAGTCTTTTAATATGTTTTATAAACAAATGCTATTAAAAACAATAAGAAATGTGAAAAAAAAAAAAAGAAAGTCTTTTTTTAAAAAGGCCAGGGAGGGCCTAGGATTTAGCTCAGTGGTGCTGCCGCCTGCCTTGAAGCAACGTCCTGAGTTCAATCCCCAGTACCAAAAAAAAAAAAAAAAAAAAACAAATATAAAAGATACTTCAGTGTGTAATCAAATTATAATACTATTTCTTTCAAAATATATATTATGCATAATATGAACTAGTCTTTTTGCATTGAATCATTAGATAAACCAGAATGTGACTTCATTTTACTTGAATTGCTACTTTTATTTTTTCAGATTCGGTTTTACTTTCATTAGGATGCATAGGATATTTTGACCAGAAAGTCTCAGAATACTGAGTCTCTATGTATAGTTTAAACCAGCGATGAATGCCCAAACTGCAACCCAAAACCCACTTTTTTGTGTGTGTAGTACTGGAGATCAAACTCAGGACCTTGCGCATGTGAGGCAGGTGTGGTGCCACTGAGCTAAATCCCTGGTCCCAAAACTCACTTATTTATTGCAAAGTGGCAACATTGCAATTAAATCTGAATACTGAGGTTTTAGTTTTTTAAAAAACTCATATATTAACACCTTTTGTCTTAAAAACATAATAACACCTGTGCCATAGGTTCACCACCACTGGCCTAAACCATTTGAGAAGAGTATTACAACAACATTTTTATCTTACCAAATTCAATTATTGAGTGCCACCCTATGTATTTGCCTTATACTTAAACAAATTGTGATTTTGGTAATAAGTCTCTTTTCTTTTCTTTTCTTTATTTTTTTTCCTTTCCTTTTCCTTTTCATCCTTCCTTCTTTCCTTTTTCTTTTTTGGTACTGGGTATAAACCCTTATGCTCTACCACAGAGCTATACCTCAAGCCTCCAGAAATCATTTCTCATATTTATTTTTTAAATTTTTATTTAATTATTTATTTTGGTACGGGGATCAAACTCAGGACCTTGCACTTGCCCAGCAAGCATGGCACCACTGAGCTAAATCCCACCCCTGAAGTCATTTATTTTTGTATTCTTCCCTGCAGTCAGTACATTTCAGCAGTCAGAGTTTAGTTACCATTTGTTAAATGGGCAGTGACCTTAGGAGGTGCGCACACACACAAACACACACACACACACACACACACACACCTGCCATACATAAGTGAAAATGGACTAAACAACCTCTCAGAAACAGCAATATAGGGGCAATCCACTTTTGGGTTCCCCTTCTGTCTCTCTTAGAAGTTATCTTTCAATAAATTTTTCCTACTCTTAACCTCCGTTGTTCCTAGAATCATTCTTTGATTTTAAAGAACACGAACTTGTGTTTTAGATATTTAGCAAGTTGGGAGTGATAATATTTCCCTTGTTTGGATTATTTTGCTTGTTTGGATTACTTGGTGCCCTGTATCAGTTTGACTGGGGCTGCAGTATCCGCTTCCAACAATAGGTGGAGTTTGTAGCTCCTGTAGGGAAGTTAGGGGGCTCAGTTCCTACTCATGTGTATTTCTTCATTGAGCTGATTATATTTCCTTAAAACAGAGAAAGTACAGGGTCAGGGCCGGGGATTTAGCTCAGTGGTTCTGCTGCCTGCCTTGTAAGTGCAAGGTTCTGAGTTTGATCCCCAGTACCAAAAAGAAAAAGAAAAATATGCATAGTATTCTACAGGTAGCATTCTACCTGTAATATTCTACAGGTGTGGTGTGGTAGCAGGGCACCAGTGAACAGCTGCATGGGGGATTTCTCCTTCCCAGCAGAACCCTCAGCCCTGTCTAGGTGGAAGCCTGCTTCGCCCAGGGCCGCCC